TCCCAGAATAGTGCCAGTTGTTAAAGAAACATAAAACTTTAATTCTCAACAACAATGAAAGGACCAGTTACTAAGACAAAGCCCTACTTCCTGCAAAACCTTACAGATACGAAACCCAATTACCTCAAAAGCCACTCACCGCGGAGCTACTAGTAGTATAATTAATATATGTGAACTCAGGGATATAAATTATTGTACATGTACAGTAGCAACTTTACAAAACTTATTGCACTTAGTTCATACCGACTACAACTGATTATAGTAGAATATCTTATAATGTTTAACTAACTAAAAGAATGTTTTTGTACTGACGACAGTACCAAGCTCACAGTAAAACTGACAAGGAGTTATTGACAACTTTGACTAGATCTAATTACCATACAATGATCAAATGTTAACTGAAGTATAAATAGAAGGCATTTTCTAATAATGAACTCCAGATGGCCCTCATTATAATAAGATGGAAAACATACTTAAGTCACACAATGGAAATGAAATGACACACATAGTTGTACTAAGTTAACCCAAGTTAACTCTATTTGAGAAGATTACTGCTCACAGTATAAACTGACAAATGTATTTGAAAATAAAATTTGAATAGATATAATTACCATACAGTGACTTCACACAAGGTCAAATATTAACTGGAGTAAAAACAAAGTCATTTTTCTATAATGAACTAAAGATGGCACAGGTTCCAATAAGATGAAATGCATACGTAATCACACAACAATGGAACATAAATGAGACATGGAGAGGAAATCTCATAGCTGCTCAAACTGGAATGGAGATTGAAACGAAAAATAGACAAACGGCTAAAGATATAAAACAAGATTTACAGGGAATAAGAATGGAGATAAAGGACATTCAAACTTTCTCGCTTGCAACTGAAAATCGATTTGCCTGTTTACAGTACGGCCTTGAAGACAACACCAGTAGTGATAATAAAGTGAACACTGGAAGAAAACAGTCATCAGTGGAATGTTCCCCAGCAGACAATGAGGAAACTGATAAAGAAGACAGCAGCAACAAAGTTTACTCTAATGCCAAATATGATTTAAGAAATGTTGATATTCTTATCATAGATGACTCTATAACTAAGCATATTAACCCAGAAATATTGTACAGAAGTCAAAGAACAAAGAAAATTCAAACATCAACAACTACAGAAACAATGTCATACATAGCTAATGTAAGAAATCAAGATAGTGTAAACCTTGTAATAACACATGCGGGTACAAATGACTTGGTTAACAATGAACATCAAAGAGTTAGTAATGAAATGGATAACATGATTGACAACTTCAAAAGAAGGTCCACAAATGCAAGACTTGCAGTGTCAAGTATATTACCAAGACATGGTGCCAACAGAGGAAAAATAAATTCAGCAATAGATGAAATAAAACCAAAGAATCAAACTCAAATGAAATGAAACACAGAAAACTTAGCAAAGTTGGAGATCTGTTTACTGATGATAGAGTACATATAAAGAAGAGTGGTACCAGTCTGCTTGTAGCAGATATTAAACGTACCATTAATAGAAACTTAAATAACAAAGATCACAGATATTCAAATCAGCCTAACTATCGTAAATACAATGATCATCAAAGACAAGATTATGATCCAAGTAATCAACGTAGGGGATATAATCTTGATGGTTATTCATACAATAGTACACAGGCCAACAAACGTAGCAATATAACTGAAGACTACTGGAGAAATTATTCCTACAACCAAGACAGCTACGACAAATACCATAGCCCACATCACCAGAATCTCAGGAATTATGATAAGAATTTTTCAAATTATAGATACAATGATGGGGATAATTACGCTAGATATGGGAATCATCACCAATCACAGATGTACTACAGCAATCGAAGTGATAGAAATACACAAAATGACAGAGGATATGTTCATGATGGATATACTGATAACCACAACTACAATACTTATTGTAGATATATTGTCACCTGTAGATATTGGTAAACATCTAGTCTAAATATTCTAGTTTTGTTTTTCATTGAATAATTAAATAATTATACCTTAACAAAGTTATTAACCTACAACCCTGTATTGCTAAACCCTCTAATGATAAAAAGAACAACTGACTGTGTTAGCCACACCAACCTAATTGTTGGGAGTTGGAACATTCATGGTCCTGGTGCTTATAAGACTAAAGAGGCTGATTAGAAGGGATTCGGGGGGGGGGGGTTGCTTTATTATTTAAGTCCAAATTTAACAATTGTCTGAAGAAAATTGATTCTGCAATAAGTGATTTCATTTGGTGTAAAATAGATAAAAAATACTTTTCTTTAGACAAAGACATTTATTTGGGATGCATATACATACCTCCTGAAAACTCAAATTATCATTTAGACAATGATTATTTTGATATTTTAGAAATGGAAATCACCAATTTCTCTCATAAAGGTGAAGTAATAATTGCTGGGGACTTTAATAGTCGTACAGGTTCTCTAGCAGATTATATTGTATTTGACGACAATGAACACATCCCAGTACCAAATAACTATATTGCTGAAATGTTTAGTAACAGGCATATGCAAGATAAATTCAAAAATAGATTTGGAATGCATCTAGTCGAGCTCTGTATAAATAACAACTTGATCATTTGTAATGGTAGAAAAATTGGTGATTTAATTGGCAATAATACTTATCATCACCCAGCAGGATCTAGCACAGTAGACTATTGCATAACAACAAAGAATCTTTATGAACAAATCCAATATTTCAAAGTTTACAATATTAGTTATTTATCAGATGACTGTCCTATTTTTCTTTCTCAAAAAATAGTTAATTACAATACAGATCATAACAAGTTTACTGATCAGTTGCACCCCCATCCTTCAAAATATGTATGGGATGAAAACTCTCAAGAAAATTATACAGAGATGTAAAAAAATAAAGCATTCTTTTCAGCAAGTATTTGAGCTATAATCTCCATAACATGAATATTGATGAAGCAACAGTCAAGTTGAAAGAAATTCTGATTAAATCTGCTGACAGTTGTCTAAAAAAAATTACACCAAAAAATAGTAAAAAAATTAAAACGTATTAATCAACCTTGGTTTGACAAATCATGTTACATTCTAAAAAAAGAGAACTTTTATCAATTTCAAAACAAACATCGAAGCAACCAAACAACCCATTTATAAAGCACAGATACCATATATTTAAAAAAAATATACTATCGGTAGATTAATAAACAAGCAGCCTCTCGGCTGAGATAGCTCCGCTGTTAGCAATTTAATGCACATTTCAATTAAAGAACTGAAGATATCATTAGAAAATGAACAATGTGCATAGCATCAATGCAATGGGACTTTTCAACAAGAATTCAAAAATATCATTTTTCACCATTAATGATTGTGGTTTTTAACAAGAATTTGAGAGAGGTTCACAATGTAGTACCTATATATGTAATATCAAAGCAATTGAACTTGCGGTTTTCAACAAGAAGTCGAAAATATCACTTTTTACCAAAAATGACAAAAATATTCACAAAAATTAGAGAATTAAAGATATCTTTACAAAATGAACAAATCTGAGAGAGGTCCACATGTAGTACCTATATACGTTATATCAAAGCAATTGGACTTGTGGTTTTTAACAAGAAGTTGAAAATATCACTTTTACCAAAATGACAAAAATATCACCAAAATTAGAGAATTTAAGATATCATCATGAAATGGACAAATCGGAGAGAGGTCTACCCAATGTACAAATACACCAAGTATCAAAGCATTCAGGTTTGTAGTTTTCAAGAAGAAGTCGAAAAAGTAAAACATTGACACGAACGATGGACGACGACGACAAAGTCGACAGCGGAGCTAAAAATAGAAAATCAACAGTTGAAGACAGTATTTCAAATGAAATGTTAAAAACAAAAAATAGTCTGTTAATTCCATGTATACAAAAATTATTCAATTTTATTTTGGAGAGTGGTACCTATCCAACAAGTTGGAAATCCACCTTCTTAGTACCAATACACAAATCAGGTGACAGGTCAAACCCAGCCAATTATAGAGCAATTGATATATCCAGCTGTCTGTCAAAATTATTCACAGGCATTATGAATCTCAGATTGACAAACCACTTGGAGAAAAACAAATTAATGAATGAGGCACAATTCGGATTTCGAAAAAACAGACGCACAAGTGATGCAATCTTTATGGATAAAACACTGTATGGAAAAAAAGAAACTGGTGCTAAGTGTAAAAGAGTATACAGCTGTTTTGTAGACTTAAGAAAAGCATTTGACAGTGTCTCAAGAGATGCTTTATTTCTAAAATTACAAAAAACTGGCATAAATGGCAATTTCTACAACATAATAAAATCAATGTACACTGATCAAGAATATAAAGTAAAGCTAAACAGTGGTATCACAGAGGGATTTCATCCAACAAGTGGTGTCAAACAAGGGTGCAACATCTCACCAACACTTTTTAACATTTTCATGAATGACCTCCCTGGTATATTCGGTGAGAATGTAGATAAACCAATCATGATTGACACTTTTCCCCTAAATTGCATTCAGTATGCGGATGACCTGGCAATTATTTCGAAGTCTGCGGACGGTCTACAAAACTGTCTGAACAAACTAAATGATTATTGTACAAAATGGTATCTAAATGTTAATGTTAAAAAAACTAAAGTGATGATATTTAACAACAGTAATCGTTTAATAAAAAATATGAATTTTAAAATAAATAATGAAGAGATAACATCTGTTAAGGAGTTTTGTTATTTAGAAACCATTTTCACACTAAATGGTAAATTTAGAATATAAATCAGTCAAACCTAAAAAATAAAACTATGAAAGCTTTATTTAGTATACGTCATACTATACTAAATCATAAAATGATCTCTACAAAACTAAGCCTTAAACTTTTTGATCAACTCATCTCTCCAATTTTGTTATATGGGTCAGAGATTTGGGCCAATGAAGTTACAAATGAAAACAATTACTTGGAGCAAGCATGCAACCACTTTTACTGGTTTATTTTAGGTGTTAGTAAAGTAACACCATTGATTTGTATAAGAGGCGAAATTGGTAGAATTCCTATAAGGATTAAGACAACTTTATCACAAATTAAATATTGGCACAGATCGTCTTTGCTACCTGAAAATCATATTCTAATCAAAGAAAGCTTAGAAAGAACTCCCGTGTACTGAGAGTTTTGGAGACACATTAAAAATTAATTCAAAATTACTTATACTTGAGATATTGATGGAATAGCTGAAAACTAATTATGCAAATAAGGTAACTAATATGAACAGATTTAAGTGTAAAACTAATAACCCCTGCACAATGTACCAAGTTTCATTGAAATGTGATTAGAACAAAAAAAATATTAATTATTATGCTAATTAGAGAATTAATATGAACAGATTTTAACCCAAAATTAATCAGACTGTTTATTGCCCTAGAGCATTTACGTATCAAGTTTTATTCAAATGTGATGATCAATACTCGAGATATCAGTATTAATTAATTATGTTAATTAGGTGATTAAGAAGCATAAATATTTACTAAAAACTAATATGGTGCACAGTCTTAGGTTCAATGAAATATGATGGGTACTCTTTAAAAGTTTCATTGAAATCCAATGAGTGGTTTTTAGACATCATAGAACAGCAAAAAATTAACTAATTATGCAAATTACGTAATTAATAGGCACATTTATTTATCCCAAAATTAATCAGTCTCTGCATAGTCCTAGAATATCTATGTCGCAAGTCTCATTGAAATGTGATGATTAGTACTTGAGATATCAGTGAAATTCTGAAAATTA